TTAGAATGAAACAGATTATTTTTTTGAGTGACAATTGACTAAAATGGACCTACTTAATGCTGACTGTCGATTGAAACTGTTTTTTTTCTAAAAACTGAATGACAAAGATAAAAATCGCTTGAAATCTATCTTCAAAATTGAATCATACAGACACTCAACACACTCAAACTCTCTTTAAATCATATTGGAGACAAAGGAGCACAACATTTGGCTTATGCATCACAACGTAATACAGTAAGCCTCATTCTCTCTTCATCACTCTCATATTCCTATTTCTATCTTTTCACACAGACACCCACCACATTACATCTTGGAGGCAATCAAATCGGAACTCTTGGAGCACACCATCTGGCTCATGCGTTAAAACATAATATAGTGACCCTCATTCTCTTTTCATCACTCTCATATACTCATCTGCACTTTTTCACACAGACACTCACCACACTCAATCTTCAACACAATCAACTCGGAGACAAAGCAGTACTACATCTGGCTGATGCATTACAACATAAAACAGTGATCATAAGGCTCTCTCCATCTCTCTCATAACACTATCTGTACTTTTTTTACACAGGCACTCATTACACTAGATCTCTCCTGCACTCACATCACAGAGAAACGAGCGCAATACCTAGCTGATGCATTACAATATAACATGGTGACCCTCATTCTTTCTTCATCTCTCTCATATTCTCACTTCCACTATTTAACACAGAATCTCACCACACTCAATCTTCAACAAAATCTAATCGAAGATAAAGGAGCACAAGATCTAGCTTATGCACTATAACGTAACACGGTAACTCTCATTCCCTCTTCATCTCTCTCATAACCCTATCTCTACTTTTTCATCCAGACACTCACCAGATTAGATCTCTTCTGGAATCATATCGGAGACAAAGGGGCATAACATCTGGTTGATGTATTACAACATAACACGGTGACTCTCAGTGTCTTTTCGTCTCTCTCATATTTCGATCTCTACTTTTTCATACAGACACTCACTAGATTAGATCTCATTCGGAATCACATTGGAGAGAAAGTAGCAGAAAAACAACGAACAAAATGATGAACAATTCTATTGATAATGGTTTGATGGAGAAGCTGGAAATATGTTTCGAATGCATGACTAAGTTTTTCTAATGTTTTTGTTTGCAGGAGTAAACTGGCTTTGATGTTTTTCGTGTATTCTGATTTGCCAGCATACGCCAAAATTTAAAAACCTTTTAATTGAAATATTAAATTTTTTTTAATTGAAACTATTCAACTAGGAAAAAATCTTAAGCCTCCAATTTTAATTTTCTGAATTTTTGAAAATTAGTTTATTATATTGATTTTGATAATTTTTTGAGCAGTGTATCGAAAATTAAAAATATACTATAAACAATTTTAGCGAAGCTCTTATCTACAGCATTATTCATTACTGTCTACAATTATAGAGTTTGATAAATATTGGTTTTCATTATTTGCATTGAATGAGCTGTCATATGTGGTGTCCGATAAGCTAATGTGTGTTTCAGAGTTAAGTGAATGTGGACATTATTTTCGATAATTTAAAACATAAAACGAGAAAAGACTCGAATTTTCAATCCTATCTAGAGACCATATTACTGCTGTTTTTTTATAAAGATCACGAGAAAAATCTAGTTGCTTTTCTTCTCAGATACAGTATCGTTTCTAAAGATAATCTTAGTCTACTTTGAAAACAATATGCTTTCTAAACTATAATACAATTAGTAGCTCGCCTAGTTTCGCCTTTATCGATCACTGCAAGCTCAAAATCGATATGGATTTCTCTTCAAAAGAAATGAAGAATTTACTAAATACTACTCATCAAAATATTTCAAAATCTAAATTAACAAATATCTCTTTATATAAATATGTAGACAGATTGCACTTCGTGACATGATTCATAAGCATTCGAAGCTTGCTGTCCTATGAAGAACGTCATTAGAATCCATGAATTAAGTTGATTTATAACAACGAATCAATGTCTTTATTTGATTCAATCAATAGTCTGACGATGTGACAGCATGGTCAGGAGGGGAGAATTTAAGTTACAATGTAAGGCTGCTATGTACTGTAAGTTAGAGAAATTGGGCATACTTGGATCAAGATAAAGCTCTCATCAGCAAAGTAACAAATTTTAAATATAGCGTGCTTATGGCATGGCTAGGCTGAAATATCTGGTTTTCAGCAAAGTCATATTTTCGAATTCAGACTCGAAACTATGCAAATATATAGATCTCAATGAGACTAGCTTGCAGAAACAGCTTCAGAAGTTTTGGAGAACATTTCTTTAAGATACCAAAGTTATGGGCATGGGTGTATGATATCGTTGAAGAGCGAACTAACACACCCACCGACACCCACACCCATCTTTGAATCTTAGTTTTTCGGAGTTAACGACCAAGTATTTATTTTGTTGCGTCTTTAAAAAAGCTATAAACAAGTATACATATAGTTCTTGAACCTGAAGTGTATTTGTTTGGTTGAGTCGTCTGAACTATTGCCACCTCAACATCCGCCACAGCCTCCACCTCCACAACCTCCACCCCCACAACCTCCACCTCCACAACCTGCGCCACCATCACAGCCACCACCACCACCACCACCACAACCGCCTCCAATCGCTCCACATGATGATGATCCTCCACCACTCGAAATGTAAAATGGTACGAAAACCATTGCACATGAACTCATGTATTGTGATGTTTCTAAATTTTTTCGATCAATGTTATAGCCGTATTCTGATTTATAAGTCTTTTCCCATTTTTCAGCCGTTTTCTGATAAGCATTTTGTAGAATATTGGACTCAATCGCATCATCGTGATCAAGAACAAAACCGCATAAAGCTGTGGAAACAGTTTGATACTGTGATGGATATCTCATATGTGTATGCCATATCAAATCAATATCAAAAGTTGGTACGAGTATTTGATTCTTTTGAGCCAATTTCATAAATGATACATAATTTTGTACTAAATGTTCAAATTGTGAACGATCCATCTTTTTTAAGTCGTATGAATAGAGATAATGTCTTTGGAATTTTTCAAGAAAATCACGTTGACGGATGACAGCTTTTCTCAAATCGATTGATGGAATGAATAATAGACGACTATTTATCGATGAAAAATAGACCTTTGAATGACGTTTGTTTCCATAACTATGTAGAAGTTGACGAACTTTTTTATCGACAAGTTTTCCGTCCGAAAGTTGTTTAGTACAATCGTTATAATAGCTTAAAGGATGAAGACGATGAACGTGCCAAATCCATTCAGTTTCTATTGGAAGTTTTATTTGTTGATGTTTTGTATTAATTTCATGTCGCGCCATTCTGTTGCAATAATCGTCAATAAAGTGATCCAATGTTGGTCCGTCTTGTGTCATTTCTGGTTGAGCAATTATTTGACGAAGCAACAAGATGTGATCAACTAAGTCATAATACGAGATTCGAAATCTTTGTCCGTCTTTTGTTCGAATTCTTGCATCGAAATTTGGGATTGACCGTGACGCTGAACTACCCATTTCTTGTCTACGTTGCTGTTCTACTTTTTTTGATATACCTTTGGACGATGAGATTCACGTATTTTATAAACTGTATGGCGTATTGTAAAAAAAAAATGCAACGCAAAAAGAATTAGTCATCTTGTCGTAGTATGTCAACATTTGCTCATTGTAAAGTATTTATAATGAATCATTATTTTTTTTCGGTCTATTCTGATCTCTCTGACAACAAAAAGCATGTAAAGAAAAATAAAACAGATTAAAGAGATGATTCTGTTTTTCCAACCCCAAATTTTTTTTTAATATATTCTTCTCTAAATATACTTCATGTGGTCCTCTACCTGTTATTGACGTTTTGAGAACTCAAATATAGCCGTACAGTGGAAAAAAAAGATAAATCGATTGTTGTAAGAGTGTGACACACGGTTGTCGTTCTATCGTAGTTTACTTGAAACACGACTTTTAAGCAAAAATCTACAAAGTCGCTCCCATTTCTCACGCATGGTACATTCGATCAAGCTCATATTTTTTCTACAAGTATCAGATAGTGTTTCGGGTGTCTGTTTTTTTTTTATTTGAAAAAATATTCTACCATTGAGTTTTGACAGTTCTTACGAGAGAAGCTATATTGAAAAATCCTAAATTCTTTAGGGTGTTCTTCGTATTTCGACTGTCCTTTTCGAAGGAAACGAAGTAAAAGGTAGTAGCCTTGAAGTATTTCTAGTATGTGTAAAAAAAAATATTCATTTCTATCCAACGTTCAGTGGATGAGGAAACGGAGAAGTTTTTAACCACTGCCATCCCCATATCTCGTTTAGAGAAGCATTCTGGAATTTTGAGTATATGGCAATATTTACTTCACTCGTCGAGATCTATTTGCTCTGAAAGTGTCGAATTTTTCTGATGAGTCAAACTCAAAGGGTACTGGAAAAGGGGAGACCCCGTAAGAAAGAAAAAAAAACGACAAACAACAACGGTAAGAAGGCATAATAATGAATCATCGCGTGAGAGCAAATGACGTATTTTATAGTGAAAGAGTAAGTATGGAGCACACAAATGACAGCTGAGTGTGAGTGTGCGTGTATAAATGTACATATGGATTTGTCGGTGGATGTGAATTCGAATATGACTTGAAAGAAGAAAATCCACATCCAAACTCCAGACTCACACTCCACCGCACACCTACATCCTACATTGAACCTTTATCTGAATTCTGCTCTTTTGAGTGATGAAAAATGCAGCTCTCTATTTTTTTCTCATCGAAATTGATTCGAAAAACTGCAAGTTGCCTTTAATTTCGAAGCCGATCTTAGCTCAAAATGTTCATTAATAAAACATTTGGGAAATATGCACAACAGTTCTCATTTTTTAGGATAATTCGACAATATTCGAAATCTATACCTAAGTCAATGCTTTATTCACATTTACATTCCACACGTTTTCGATTTATTTGGAGTAATCTTTTTTTCAAAACCTTTGTCGCCATCATCGACTCAAATAATTTTATCCATGTCATTAGCACTTTCATCTGTAATTTTCGAGCGTTTACCTATTATGATTAGGATTATTCGACAATAAAATTTATTAATAGTCCAAAATATGTACAAGTTCATTCTTTTTCGTCAACCCCAAGAATCGTTTTGTAACAAGAGTTTAATCGCCTCACTATCTTCAATTATTACTCTTTTTATAATTTCCAGTATGGCTAATAATTCAAAGGTGTCATATTGGTCGATGAAATCGTATGACGAATCTTCAGTCAAAACAGGAAAAAATGTCCACAACATTTGCACACAGGCTATGTAATTTGAATCAATAGTTTTTCTTACTGCACAGATAATTTCACCGATAGTCGCGCGATTTTTAGGTTCCGGTAACCAACCTTTTTGAATAGTATTTCTCAACATATCTGGTATTACTGTAACTGTTGAATGAGCAGCTTTCACAGTCCAATCTTTGGGACGTTCTCCTTTTATTGTAAATTTTGTTATTATTTGCGTATCTTTTAGACCGATAAATGGACGTTGAACTGTCAATAGTTCGTAAAGTGTAAATGAAAGGGCATAAATGTCGGATTGAAATGATGGTGTATCTCCATCAGCCACTTCCGGCGCATCATAACCAACAGTACCACCTGACCTTTTAACAGCTGTAGCCGATGCTGTTTGAATAAGAAAACTCACTCCGAAATCAGCTATTTTTGGTATGTAACCGTGTCCAGTAGAATCTGGTTGAAGAAGAACATTTGCTGGCTTAAAATCTCTATGAACAATACCAGTCAAATGCAATTCTCCAAGTCCTTTACAAATTCCAAGTGCAATGTCTAAACGTTTCTCGAATGTTAAATTCAGAATTGTGTCATTAATCAATGCTGTAGCAAGACTTGGGCCGTCAATAAATTCCATTACAATAGAAATACCAAAATCTGGTAATTGAATACCTCCGTATACTATTAAAATATTGGGTATATGACTTAATGGTCTAGACAGAAATATTTCATGAATGATAGCACCTTCTATGTCAGAATCAACTAAAGCCGGAACACGAGGACATTTGATGGCATAATTCTGCACTTTGAATACATTACAAAAAGCACCATACTCAAATGGTCGTTGATTGTCTTTTACATTAATGTCTTTCAATGCTGCTGGTAGACAATATGCTTTAATCTTTTCCATGCTTATCCGAAGTAGATTCATAACATATTCAGAGCTATTAGCGTTGCTATGAATCTTACCATAACACAATGGACAACACTTAATTTTTTCGAAACATTCTTGACATACATAATGTTTATCACTGACAGTACACAATTGAACTGGAGTTTTCGAGAACTTTGAATGAAGAGAAAACTTAGCATAACAAACTGGACAACGTAATTCATTCAGTAATTGACAATAATCAAAATCTATGAGATTAACATATTCCGTATTTCTGTATTTTTTAACATAAGCTTCGAGCATATCTCTGGTGCAAATCATAAATCGAGTCTTGAGGCCAATACTAGCAAAATTAAGGAAGTGTATAATCTTTATTTGATCTTCAGCCTGCAACTTATCAATCCATTTATGTATTGAAGCCTTGATCGCTGTCTGGTTGAAGTGGGCTATAGTTTCATGTACACGGACAACATTTGCAGTTAGAAGAATCACATTATGGTAACTGCAACCCATACAGGCTGCTTTGCTAGAACTCCACTTTTCAGTATTCGTGCGGATATCTAATAAAGTTTCATCCAAAATATTGTAATAGCCAAAGGAATGATTTCTATCTAGTTTTCTACCATTATATGTAACGTCTGTAACTTTTGTGCATGGAATAGTCTGTTCAATTTTGAGTATGAGAGCCTTGATTGTATCATTCGATCGTACTTCTTGGATTATGCAAAACTTCGAACTGCAGCTCCATCCAGTCACTGTAACTTTCATTATTATCCACTAAATATGTAATAGTTATATATGATTGTTATAGGTTAAGGTAAAATATATTTATTTCAATCGGCGTCAGTCGACTAATAGAACGTTAACGTACAGGTGATCGTTGCTTGGAAGAACAACTAAACATAACAAGTAAAACAAAGATTACTTTTTGAAACGTGTAAGATACTAACACGTGGTCAAAGTTGAGAAAAAAAGAACAATCTCGATGCAACTAAATAAACAGAACGAAAGAAGTAAAAAACCGACACAAAATAGAAAAGAATTGAAGGCTTCATTGGGTGAGTTATTTCAAGATATCCGTGTTATCGGACAAATCAAACTGAGTATCATCTAATAACATAGACTATTAATTCATTTTTGTCGTGGATGGTCATAATTAATAGCCAGTGATTGCTAAGTCTTTTCCTAATTACCGTAGAATATTCATTTTTCTTTTAGTGATGTTTCGATAGTCTATGCTGTCGTCTCCAATTTTTATTGATGTTGAATAAAAATCTCTAGAATATACGCATTTTTTTAAAACTTTTTCTTTCTCTTGTTGTGATTTTTACAGTGGGTTGTCAAGACGGTGATAGCTGACAGAAATGACTTTCTCTTACCATCTTCTTTCGACAAACTATAAAAGTCACAACAACAAGAACAAAAAAGAAAAAGAAAAAGAAATATACTATGTGTATGTTCTACAAGTTTTCATTTAACATCGATAGAGTCCGAAGAAAGCAACATTGACTGTCGAAACGTCACTAAAAAGAAAACAAATATTCTACAGTAACTAATGTCTGTTAAAAAAGGAGGCACTTGGGTATTTTTTCAATAATTTTGTCCTACAACTATATACGAAGCTCGCGGTTGTTTCGTTTGAAAGAGGCTCTGTCAGTGCATCAATCCATATAAAATTGTTGACCTTCATTGCATGAGCAAGTAGGGAGCTATGGTTATGTTGAAGAGATGGAGTGGGGCATGGTTGTGATTGCAGGTGTGGATTGGGCATAACAAGGGATACCCAGACTCAGGTCCACATCTAATTTTTGACGAAGGCTTGATTATTATTAATGTACCACAGTTACGAGTAGCTGCGATGCAGCTATTGAAAAAGAGCCGACATAGGTTATGTGTAAGCCGAAGTGTTTCTAGATAATGAGGTGGATACCTTCGATGAAGATTATTGAAGTTGCTGTTTATTCTCTTCAGGGATAATTTTGAATCGAGCATCAGTTCGTACTAGAAAACATTCAAAATCAAGGATTTTTTTTTAAAGTAAATTCATTCCTATTCTATTACTGTCCATAATACCGAATTATTATCTACTTTCTTTGTATCTACACGTATGCATCATCATTTATTCGACGGCTAGTGAATTATCGACTCAATTTTGAATAGAAGAGAAAAATGTCTTTAATAAATTTATTTTCATCACATGTTTTCAGCAGTATAAGTGTGTTATCATCAGGCAGTTATGACAACTTTTAAGTTCGTAGAAGTGAATGAAAGTCACTAGGATGACGTCATTTGAAAGTATGAGTCTCCATGAATTTAATTACGTTCAAACTATGATGCAGTTACACTGTAATTGGGTCAAAGTTGCTAAATAAGAGATGACCTCGCGCAAGGCTTTCGTTCTATTAATATTTTTGTTAATAATTATTTCTCACCTTTAATTTTATTTCATAAAATTTGACCGAAGAGTAATTATAGATGAAGAATGTAAATGTGAGTGCTGACATGTCAAAGAGTGGCTCTGCTCGAAGTGAACCCTAAACTCATACCCATATCCTATAAAGAAAACCAATAGAATACACATAAATGGTAACATTGCCTTATGTTACAGTCAAGTATAACACAACAATAGTTCTTATCGAAATTTTATTATTATGATATTAGCTTAAGAGTGATTAAATAGTACAGAAGATTAATATCCATTTCATAATAAAAGAAAGACGAGGTTGTTTTTCTAATAGTTTTTTTTATTGAAGTTAGACAAAAAAAAACTGCGATTTTCCTCGTTTATCAGAGAAAATGAAACTGCATGGAACCTTGAATGCCAAATTTTCTGACAAGTCTTCTCAGAACCATCGTCAGGTTTCTTAAATACAAAATATTGTGTAATATAGCAGTTTGGAAATTTCAATTTACAGTAGTGTATCAGAGACATTAACTGAAGTTCAATAAATCTACGTGAGCTCGGTGTCGAAAGATTTAGCCAATCACAAGTTTGGTAGTTTTTTATGAAAACTTGACTTCTTTTCTGACTTTTAAAACAAAAAATACATCTTCTAAACCTATTAAAAAATCTTAATTTTTAAAAAACTTAATGCCCATCAACAATTATTCCAAAAATTCTCAACCTTCTTTTATTTTGAAATGGATATTAGAGCATTGTTTCATCTATCACTACGAAAAAAAAAATTTCTTCAAGTTATCTATGTAGAAATAAAGTACCCTCACCACTATTTTTGAATTGTCCTATGGAATTATTGATTTTTCTTTTTAGTCATTAGAACAATAATATTTCCTTTTGAATCACATACAAATATATCACATGTTGGATAGTTAATATGTGTTGGTTCACCAAAGATGATATGCCAAGTATATTCAAGTGATCTACCTGTGTAATAATCTGAATAATTAGTACTTATATATAATATAATCAAGAATATTTGAATAAAATATTGCTGGATGAGCAAGAATAGCTTCTCTTTTAACAGCAAATGTTGCACAACAATGTGTTACTATTCTATTTTCTGGTGAAGGACCAAGTTCTTTTTGTAAAACATCTTTCCATAATTCATAGTTAATTCTTTCTTGAAGATCACTTGAATTTTCTTTAAATGTATAATGACTGTTTCTACTAGATAATGGCATGAAATTATATTTATGCCATTGTAATGCTCGTAATGCAATAACAATATCTGATGGATTTTCTTGATGATAAGATGTTCGATGTCCATGAACAAAAGCCACTGATAATGGTAAATTTGAATAACGGTTAACAATATATCGAAGATATGCTGCAGGATCTCTACCTTTATTAATTCAAATCTTACGATGATGTGCTAATGGCTTAGGTAATCGTGTATAAACAATATATGGAATTTGCTCATCATCCAGTAAATTAAGCCAATCTAAACTTTCATTAAAATGTGATTGTAACCATCCATATTGGATGTTCATGTAGAAATGCCATTTTTTGATTCTACCCTCCTCTTCCAATCCGAACATATACAGTATTGACTGATTGCTCTCTTTTTGACGCTAGGTTTTCTGAATTTGCAACTGATGTATGTAAGTTTTTTCGTAGATGATATCTCATATAGTTTTCGAAAGATGCTAATTTTGAAATAATTTTCAAAAGCATTTATGCTTGAACATTTCACGTAAAATGCTTAAAAAATGACAAAGAAATCGTAGTAAGCGTCTGGACAAACAGATGTATCTGACCACTCTCCTGTTTCTTTTCTGGACTTCTTTGATGATTCGCTCCATACAATGACAATTTTATCAGATTGAGATACTGTATTTGTTTGATTAGTAAAATTCTGTCTTTTATTTGTATTATTACATACAGATATGGTAAAGTTGAGTGATTGAACTTGAAATAGATAAAAAGTGAAAAAAAGAACTAATAATAAAACGAAAACTAAGATTAAACGGTGAACCCCAATAGAAAATATGTAATCTAAAATGATATCAAGTTTTTAATGAGACAAAAAATTCTATACTAATATTTTTACCTTTTGACTTCGTAATATGATCAAACGGTATATTCATTTTTTTTCTTTTACAATATTATAAGGGTATTTATAGGGAAGACCGAAACAGAAATCGTCGAAGCGAAGCACATCAAATAAGAAACATGGAAAAAAAGTGAATTATATAAAAATATCAAAAAGAAAAAGATAGAAAAAAAATGTCGAAGTAAAAAGCGTAGGAAAAAAAGGGCGGGATGAGTGAGTAGAATATTGAGTTTCATGATGAACGGTGTTTATTTCTGTTATGTGAGAATGTCATCAGATAAATTCTTAATTAAGTTGATATTATATTATTTCTTGAGTAGCCCAATATAAGAGAAAAACAAAATTGGAATTCCATTTTGATACATATCAATGGTATTTGTTGATGTGTTAATCGTTAGTTGGTTTATTTGATGTTCTATTGATTGTTTCGCTGTACTAGGATGACGATGACTAACTTTATCTTGTATTGACAGAAGTATCTATAATAATATATTGATATGAATATAGTATATTTAATAAAAAAAACGCAAAGTACCCGATCAAGTAGCATAGTAACATGTATTTCATCTGTTAGATTATCTTATGTTTCTTCATGATGTTTTTGTTGTTATTGTGATTGAGTATTCATGTTTTGATTAACTAATCCTGTAATTGTATATGAATTATCTATTGACGGTGTATGTACATTATGTTTTGAGATGACCATGGTATTTACATTGATGAAACTATCACATATTAACGATCGTGAGCAATCCAATTTACAGTATTTATTGTTCATCCATATTCATATACATAATAAATAGATTGTGAGTGTACTTAAATCAATTGAAAAACAGATTGATCTATATGTCTATCATACAAATCAATTTGTTGTTCTCAGCTCTTGCTTTTCAGCAGCCAACTAAATCGAAAATAAAATCAATAGAATGGTAATAATCATATTGCTTGAATAAAAATTAATGAAAAACAAAAAGCAAAAGTAATTTTACCGATGCGTTTTCGGTTATTTATTAACATAATGAAACATTCATCATGACTCTGCATTACAGATGACATGTAAAAATTAAAATGGTAGGAAAAGTATGGCAAAGAAGAAAAAAACGAAAAGAAATGATAAGTCTCTAACCTTTTCAATTCTGCATGTCAACTGGTAGATAATATGCAGAACGCAAAAAGCAAAATTTTGCGTTCTGACGTCTTCGTATAGGATATGTACTATTTGTGTGTTCAAAGAAGTGAGTCTACTACTAGCTGTCAAAATCAAATTTTTCACGCAGTATAAATGAAGATAAGATTTGTGTACAGCTCACTTTTACAAGAAGAACGTAAAAGCGAAAAAAAAATTGAGATTTTTTTCAACTTCGTGCAGAACGAATGAAAATATTCGAATTGAAAAGATTAAAGTCTAGATTGAAATATAAAACAAGGACCTTCTTTGAATTCAAATGAGTTTCTAATTATGTATTCATATTTTATTGTTTATTTGAAATTTGACTACTTATTACAATTAAAGTTTTCTGAACTTTCTCCAGATATATATATATATATATATATCATATATAAGATTAGCTTTATTTTAATAACATTTTTTCTAATATGTTGAAATCTATTGAATATCATGATTTTTTTAAGATTATATTATTATGTTGGGAAATTGTAAGATCTATATTTATTATCATATAAATATATATCTCTGTATCTTGACACCTGGTCTCGCAATATATAGCCGTTCATATTGATTTTTTTATTTATTTGATAAAAAGATTTAATAAATACATTTAGATTTACCAAATAATTCTTTTCCAGTTTGATCAGAAGATTGATGTGATACGTGTATTGCAGTGGCGTAGTCAGGATTTTTTAAGTAGATGGCAATTTACCAGTTAAATTATTTTGAGTAGGTGGAAGTGATAGGCAATTGTAAAATCTAGTGGGCAATAATTTTTAAAAAAACTTATTCGCATTACAGAAGCCGTTGTTTACTGAAGAGAAATTAGCCATCCTGCATTAACAGATAAATTCGCTCGCTTTTTTATAGTATTTCACAAGTGTATTCTTCAATTTCATATTTTTGAATATTTTATGTTAGAGTCATAAATAATTGTCAATAGAACAAAAAATAGTATAAATAAACATAAATAGAAGAAAAAAATGAATCTAGTAATCCGGGTTTTCGTTTATCGCCAGGCATTTTAACATATAAGATATTCACGATATAGGCTTGTATAATGTATATGTATGTCTCAATCAACAAGCGCATTGTCTTTTGTTATTCTATATTATTCAACGGCACAAAATGCTGGCTATTTTCTCTCATTCTACTGCGCCGCCGATAATTCTTTTCTTTATTTTGACGAGTGTCACGATAATCATTCTTTTTTTTTCTCAATATATGGTAGCGACATAGTGAGTGTCAGTCTATCTTTTTTCGTCAAACATTGATCAATCCCTTTTTATTGTCTTTCATCAGGCCAGGGGAGTAACTAGGGAGCGTGTGGACGTAACCACCTGCTTTCGAAGTTTATTAACAAAACAGTCCTTCGCTACTAGATCTAGAACATTTTCAGGGGTGTAAATAGGAGACAGGTGTGGAGAACTGATTTATCGACTGTTGAAGGGAAATTTCTTAAAAAAAAAAACAATTTTTTACGCGCAAATTTCTCGCATTTTAGAAAAATTTTCGCTTCGAGTATTAGATTTTTCAATTATTTTTCAAGTTGACAATTCTTTTTTTCTTCATTGATTTGCATTGAACAAGATATAAACTACCATTTCTTTCAAGTTCATATTCAAATTTCAATGTAAAGAGTCAGAGTGTGGCCGCCTTTGGCGGCGAAAAACAACGAATGATTTTCTTCCATTGCTACTATAGAACGCGAGTTCCCACTTTATTCATATTGAATTTGAAACTATTTGACTCGAAATTTTTGATTAATTTTCAAAAAGTTGCCGCCTTGGGCGGTATTAACTTAACACTCTTCTTTACTTACGAAGGGATAGATTTTTGCAAGCGTAGAAAAATTTCTCGCTGCGCGGTTGCCCAGTCGAACAAAATCGGTAAAAAAAACATGCTTTTACGCGTTTAAAAGTGCTCTTTTTACGTTTTCAAAAAAGTTTTTGTTGAAAAAAGACCGAATTTAAAGATGTTAATGCCCACAAACTTCTTTGCAAAAATAAAAATCGTTTTTTAGCGTTTTTTTACTCTTAAAAAGTGCACGTTTTAACACGTAACAACGCGTTAAAATGGGCCTTTGTCTGCCTGGGTGTCTCCAAAATACGAAGTAGAGTCGAAAAAGAGCGTCAGAAAAGTATCTTTACAATGGTGCTTAGAAAAAAATTTTCGTTCCCTCGATTTGCAGGTCGGGTACGTCCCTGGTGAAATGTACACTATATTTCTATTGCGCCTCTACGCTCCCTGCTGTAGGTGCTGAGTTACGCCCCTGCGTCAGGCAATGAAGAAGGTTGGCTTTTCTGCTTTAATCGGACAAAGACATGAGTTAGTTTGTTCTCTTACATTGGATAATAACAAACATAAATCCACATCCACATATATCTCTAACAAATTCTCCATCATGAAAGATTTTTTTTGCATGATTCTAATGTTCAGTCATATGTGTATTCTGTAAACTACATATTAGTATTTCATTACTAGTACTTTCAATACCTGAAATGAGTTTTCAAAACACTGTCGTTTATACACTTAATCGATTTTTATTTAGATTTTCTATGTAGTTTATTCACCTTTTCAACTGTAACATTGCAAGTATCTTTAGCGAATTTAAGTGTATGACAGAGTATTTTAACAGAAAATACAATTGGATCATTATTACTGTGACTATTCTTTAATTGGAAAATATCGTAGATTGATTTTTTGTAAATCACTTGATTAGATCTCATCGAGAGAAAATGTATTGAAAAAAATACTTCTTGAATCTTTAAATATACACAGATATTTACTTTTTTTGGCAATAGGCAATTGCCCACATTTTAAAAAAATTAGGTAGCAATAAAATTTGGTTTAGGTGGCAATTGCCAAATTGCCACCCTGCTGGCTACGCCATTGGTTTATTGTGAATTAAATATAAGTGCACATCAAATACAGGTGTGGAAAAAAAGATTGACATGTGAAATATTGATTTGTCTCGAAGAGAAAAGACTTGAAACATTTTCTTCGTGTTAATAGTTCTAATTAGTGTCAGCGGTGTCATAATCAGTTAAGAAAAATCTTTTTATATGAAATTGTCGATATGTTTGCAAATTAGACATATTCTCATTTTAGTCACCATTTCTTCTCGGTTGATGTAAGAAGATAGTTAATTATAACACTATCGTTTCTTTATCTTAGTGCTACTGTGATCGTCTGCTATTGTTATCCATATATTGTGATATTTCCCCTACAAACGATACATGCAAAAATGTTAGATGTTGTCATATTAA